CCGGCCCATCCGTGCGACAGCAAAAGATGCCACGTGGCTCTACCCCTGTTAAAGTATATACAAATGGATCAAAAGAACCTACATTAATTAAAATATGATGAAGTAATCTGATTGCTTCGTGGCACAGTGGCTTATTTTTAAGTTGCAGCGTTGAGGGCCGCCGGTTCGAATCCCAAACCAAAGCCAAACGGCCAAGAGTTCGGTAGAAAGGGAAAGAAATCGGTGCACTATGCGGGTGGTATCGAGGAGCACTAAGCTTGAGCTAACCACACAGATTTATCGCTTCAGATGACCCACAAAACTGACCGGGATTACCCCATTCTAATTATTATTATTTGTGTCTAAGACTTGTTAATTTATTTATTTTCTTTTTCTTCGCTCCATATTTTTTTTATACAATAAGGGTGACAAACGAGCACACAGTCCACCTGATGGTAAGTGGTTGCTATGGCTCATAGACATCTACATCTTCTGTGTGTGAGGACTTGTGTGAGGACTAATTTGAAATGCCTCGTTTCCAGTAAAAAGGGTCTCTCTCACCATAGGAAACACAGCTGTATTAAGCAGCTATTTCTCAGCTGCTCTACCACGTATAATATACCACGATATATAGGTACACAAGTTTATACCTGAGTTCCTGGAAACTAGAAAATGTAAATTTCGTAGACAGATCATGTAGAGATTTCTCTACGAAATTTACATTTTCATAGTATAAAACAAAGTCGCTTCCAGCCGTCTGTACGCTTAGATCTTTTAAACTTCGCAACGGATTTTGATGCGATTTTCATCAATATACAGAATAATTCAAGAGAAAGGTTTTAAGGTCAATATTTGTAATACATGCATATTATGTATTATATAATTCTTCGGTCCATGTGTATGTGACTGAACTCGTAAACGGCTGGACCGAATTTAATGAAATTTTGAGATGGAATTTTTTTTGAAAATAAATTTCTTTTTGAATTGAAATTAAATTTTTTAGAGTATGGTTTTGATTTACGATTGGACCCAGTAGGTGGCGTTATTGTCGAGATCCATAAATCATCGTGTGAAGACAGGGCGTATCGCTATTTAAGCTATATACAACGAATATTGTGCTGGCAACTTTACAACGTGCTTTGTGAACAAGTTATACAAGTAACAACTAGTATTAACGCATGTGCACGTGTGTATACTGCGCATTAAATAGAAGCAAGTTATTAGTGACGTGCCATCTGGTCAATGATTTTATTTTATCGATATATTTTTTATAGATAACTTGCGATCCGCACAGGTTTAGCACGGGTGATTTTTGGATCTCGAAAATAGCGCCACCTACCGGCTCCAATTGTGAATCTAAACCATTGGAACACAAAAGGGACTCGAACACTCACAAAAATTTAATTAAAATCGGTCCAGCCGTTTAGGAGGAGCTATTGACAAACACACGTACAGAAAAATTATTTATATAAAGATGTACATTTTTTATAAAATTGAAGTGACATAAATTACAGTCCACCTGAAGGTAAGTGGCTACTGTAGTTCATGGACTCTAGTAAACAAAACACAAAGAAGTTAGTAATAAAAATAGTTTATTTTAATTATTTGCATAGCATAATGTCTTATGGCATTCTTATACGTGGTAGAGCCACGCTGCAGCTATATTAGAAGTATAGTTGTAGCACGAATGAGTCGGCTCGACCGGGGAAGGAACACACTCTCACAGAATACCAGCATAAAATAGCTGTTTAACACTGCTGTGTTTCGTATGGTGAGTGTAGAGAACCAGAGACCCTTTTTACTGGAAAAGAGGCATTCAATCTTAGTCCTCACGGCTGACAACGCATCTGCATTTTGATTCGCAAACGAGGATAAAGGTAGATGTCTATGGGCAACAGCAACCACTTACCATATGGTGGACTATGTGCTCATTTTTCACCCAATCCTTTAAAAAAAATTTGCTGTGGGATAATGCAGATGATTTAGAAACTATTTGCTTTTTTTTTGCAGAAGAAGACCATAAGAGATATTTACAACCTAAAACCATAAGAGTATCACGGAGTATATTTTACAAAAATAAATATATTTACTTTGGCCTCTCTAAGTATATTTATGATAATTAAATGTATGTCTACAAAACACGACTAGTTTTAATAAAAAAGTAAAGTGTACACTCTGTAAACACCAGGAACAAACAAAAACTAGTGATAGCAGTTTTTGATTCCACAGAGTCAGTATTCGTGAGGCAATATTATATACGATATTATAACAAAGTCCCAGAAAATATAGTAAAAGGTCTCTCTATTACCAAGTTTAATATAAAAAAAAAAAACTGTATAAAAGCGTTATTATCATATAAAATGAATACACGGTTGATAATAACACCTGGGAATGAGATGGTCGCTTTCAATCTGTTAGGAAACACAACATGAATCCCAAGCTCCGACTCTTGCTAAAATTTTTAATTTTACAACACTGGATATGACTTTGATACTTTATAAGTGTGCTCGAATACACGACAATCATTCATTCATCCATTATCCATTAGAGTCTATAAAAGTAAACTGAATATATGCCTCCCCCATAGATTGCCTCTTAGGGGGGATTTTCTCTTTTTTGTTACTACTAACTTATATTAATTTTGTCACTTTTTTAGGGTTCTGTACTCGACGGGTAACCAACGGGACCCTATTACTAAGCCTCTGCTGTCCGTCCGTTCGTCCGTCTGTCTGCCAGCGGGCTGTATCTCATGATCCGTAATAGCCTTACAGTTGAAATTTTAAAAAATAAAAAAATTAAAGGAGGCCACCAACTAGAAACATGTATTACAATGGTATGGAACCCTTCATGCGCGAGTCCGACTCGTACTTGACCGCTTGTTCATTATTTTTAGTGTATTATTCTAAAGCTTGTATTTATGTCCTGCTCAACCCATGAAAAAAATGTTTTTTCATGGGTTGAGCAGTATTAATAATAACTTATTGCCTCTCCAAGCACCTTGCTGTAAATAAGTAGTCAGTATATCGAATTTTATCGAATCGATATCCATTTGATAAATTTACATCATTAGTGCGTGTACTTAGTCCCTACAAATTCGAAAGGTTTTGCGTCTGAGACGCGCCCATACTTGATAGGACAGTAATGTTAAGGGGGAACCACACGATGCGATACGATTTGCATTCGATTTATTAATTTTGTACGTGGATTGAGTAAGATAGCAGCATGCTACTGTGTTTCGTATGGTAAATACAAGAACCGGAGACCGTTATTCTTAATCGAAGATACCATCAAGTGGACTGTATGCTCGTATCTAGTGTCGTATATAGTTATTTAACGGTGAGAAATCACTGAGAAAACTATAGGAAACTACGGGTGGCAATTGGTCAAGCTACAACTGAACAGTATCAGGTCGCTCGTGCAAATAATTCGCGGCTGGCCCTAACTTTATCATGAGGCAGAGGTAGAAGAGACTTCTCCTCTCCTAAGCATGCGCACTACACCGCTTGCTCCACTTCTCCGCAGCAAGAAAACACACATCACTGAACACGTTGTGCTTATGAAAATCGTTTCTTAAAACTTTAATAACTTTATATTAAATAGATATCGCAATATTATTTTTAAATAAGGGCCAAGTGTCTAAAAACTAAAATTTACCTTAATTGAAATCTATGCAGTAGTTTTCCCGCAACGCGTGCGCAACTGCAAACCTCTATCAATTTATTTATATAGATAAATAAATTAGACGACTTCAAAATATGTGGGCAGAATAGGCAAATATATCGAATTTTAAAACATAAAAGGCCGGCAACTAATCTGCGATTCCACTGGTGTTGCAGTTGTTCATGGGTGGCGTTCAACACTTACCAACAGGTGAGCCACTCGTTTGCCTCCTCTTCTATAAAACAAAAACTTTTTTTTTCTGGCAGCTTAAGGAAGGAAAAGTACTTTGTTGGTAATCATGTAAACAATGGGAATTCTTTGGTAAATATACAATACGCTACACAACACGTGGTAAAATTAAATTTTTTATACAACCGACTTTAATATAAATTATTGTTACGAGCTTGGGGTTCGAGACAATTAAAAACTGCCGATTGAATTACCAAAATTGACACTTTAATTACAAAACACTAATTACAACTTAAAACCACACTAATAATAAAACATAATAGTACTACTGATCACTTTAGTTCGACGTCGCTAGTTGACATTGAGGTAAAGTTTTACTCAATGAAAAAGGTTTATCATTTTCTAGAGTATTATATTAATACACAAAACAATTCCTCAGTGGTTTGCTCTTTAATTTCTTGCACATTTTTAACTTTTTTAAAAACAATTTACTTATATGAATATCTGTGCCTTTTTTATTTTTAATCTAATTAATATAAAATATAGCTAATAATACAGAAGTAAACATTAACCATTACATTTTGCGAACTAATTAACTTCTCCGCTATGAAATCTGTCAAATATTATACTTCACTTTTAAGTGGCGCCGCCCTGGTGACAGAAAAAGTCGTGGATGCCCTCATTGACTACCTCCTCCTTTTTGAAGTTGGTAGTAAAAAAGAATCACAACTGATAGCGAATCGAAACTTAATATGTATGAGCGTTCATTATTTCCTACCAATAAATAGAATCAATAAATAAGAATGGCAGTGAGGTAAAAGTTTGCAAAGCTATGTTTAAAAATACTCTTTGTATTAGCAACCAGTTCATTCAAAGCGCAATTGATACGTTTGATAAAACAACAGGTTTTTATAAACCTGTTGTTTTATCTATATATATATATATATTTTGGATCGACGAACTGTTCATGACAATAAAACAAAATTGCTGACTGAAACAGTTACCCAAAGCGTATGTAATCAATGATCATGTTAACTACATTATGTTGACTACATTGTCATGAAATCGTATCGCGAATTGTATTCGTTAATAATATCGTAGTGTGTGAGTGCTACTTAACTACACGCGAAATCGAGTAGCTCCGCTTCGCTCAATCTGACCTCAGCTCGCTCAGTCAATGCCCGGCTCGCGTTGAAATCATACGCGTATAGTTGAACTGTTTTAAAGAGAGTGTTCGATTACTCGTAACTCAAGGTCGGCCATTGTTGGGTGTATTCAAAAAGGCATAAAATAAAGGTAAGGTTTTTCATTTTTTTTTTCTGCAGACAACTCGAGCGTTCCTTGTTGCTTTGTGTGAAGTTCTTTTAATTACGACACATTATGTTTTTTTTTTACTGAGTGCATTTTGTTACAATTTAATGTGTGCAAAATATATACGAACATATGAAAGTGTTTCAACAATATATTTTACTAGCTGAACCCGCTAACTTTCATCATGGGGGGGGATATTTGCCATAGTTGCCACGCTTGGCGAGCGGGTTGGCAACCGCACTTTTTTATTATAATATTGCTGTTATCAGGAAGATGCTGCTGCCCATCTCCTGGCTGTTTCCCTCTGTCGCCTCTCACGACACCCACGGGAAGATATGGGGTAGTGGATATTCTTACACCGCCGCTACACGCCACTAAAAGCATGTAAATCTTCTTCTATATTAAATATAATGATAGAGGTTTGCAGTTGTGCGCGCATCACAGAATAACTACTAGATGTATTTCAATTAGGTTTTCTAAGTTTTATTTCTTAGACACTTGGCCCTTATCTAAAAATAATTATAGCGATATCTTCATTTAATATAAATTTATTATAGTTTTAAAAAACAACGATTCTTGTACGGCAATTTTCACACGGTCAACTGTCATTTGCTCTCGCTTTACTAACCCGGATAATTGATATATTTTAGGTATAAACGGAGCAACAAATACAATTGTTTACAAAGAAATTTTGATGTTATTTCCTTCACACATACAAAAACTTTGTTAATATATCAGGCAAACTTGATCAAGTATCAGATACTTGATAAGAAATGAGTGTAGGCGAATAGGAACTTATCACATCTACATTTATCCTCGATTAAGAATCAAAATGCAGATGCGTTGCCACCCGTGAGGACTAAGATGGAATGCCTCGTTTCCCGTAAAAAGGGTTTCCGGTTCTCTACACTCACCATACGAAAGACAAAAGCATTGAGCCGCTATTTGACGCTGGTATTCTGTGGGAGCGTGGTCCTTCCCCGGTCGAGCCGTCACACTCGTGCTACAACCATAATATAACTTCAACGTGACTCTACCACCCTTATAAAACCCTTTTTTGTATATTTAAATAAAACTAGTTTTACGAATTTTATCGCTTATATTAACTTATTTTATGTTCCTGACGTTCGAGTACTTTACAGCACCCATGGTCACGAGGGAGGGGGGGGGGGGAGGGGTTTGACGTCCCAATGTCATAGTTAACCACGGCTACGTCCAGATTAAATATTATAAATTTTTGTTCCGGTCTACACAGTATGAACTTCAGTATTTTTAATTAAAACTAATTTTACGGATTTTATACTTGGGTTTGGATTTGATTTTATACCACTGTTAGACTTCAAGATACCGTAAGTTCATTCCGCGTAAATCGGACCAAAAATTAATATTAAAAAACTGAAGGTAGCCGGGCTATGACAGCAGGACGTCAAACACTTCAGTCCCCCGTGACCACGGGTGCTGGAAAGCACCCGAAACGTCGGGAATATAAAAATAGATTAATATACGCGATAAAATCCGTAAAATTAGTTTTAATTAAAAATGTGTAGTGTTCGCGTAAATATAAGAAATCATTATGAACTTCAGTATCTTGAAGTCTTGCAGTTGTATGCTTGGGTTGGGATTTAATTTTATTAATTATGGGATCCCAAGCAGATGGTAGCACCCAGCCATCTTCTCTATTGAAATTAGGATGTTTCTTGATTTCAACAGCCTCGCGAATCATCCTTGGAAGGAATCGGTGTTCTTTAGCGAGGATTTGTGGTCTATCAAATCTAATGTAGTCTGCAAACTTCCCGGAGTGTCGATTCTTCACATCAGCTATGTGTAAAGAAGTTAATATACGCGATAAAATTCGTAAAACTAGTTTTATTTAAATGTGTAGTGTTCGCGTAAATATAAGATATCATTATCATTTTTTATAGTTTTTCTTTAATTAACTTTTGAAGCTTCTTGGTTGACAAACTTTGAACATTTTATGGAATTTTGTTGTAATAGCATACGTTAAAAATTATACATCACCATCCAAAATCCATAAAATTATAAGATGAAACATAGAAAAAGGAGTAGGTATCATATAATTATATAGTAAAGTGGTGACCCTGACGTGATGTGAATACACAACCTTCTGATGACGTCACTGCAACACTACACAAACATTAGACAACAAACACATCCGCATCATCTCAATGTTTTGAAATCTTTTCTTTGTAGGATGAAGGTTACAAACGAGCACACAGTCCACCTGATGGTAAGTGGTTACTGCGGCCCATAGACATCTACATCTATCCTCGATTACGAATCAAAATGCAGATGCGTTGTCATCCATGAGGACTAAGAACGAATGCCTCGTTTCCAGTAAAAAAGGTCTCCGGTTCTCTACATTCACCATACGAAACACAGCAGCGTTAAGCTGCTATTTTACGCTGGTATTCTGTGAGAACGTGGTCCTTCCCGGTCGAGCCGACCCATTCGTGCTACAACTGTACTACTAATATAGCTGCAGCATGGCTCTACCACGTAAATAACCACTTATATAACAACTTTACTTACTCGTTTAATTTATACATACATCTCTTTATTGGAACGAAGTTCCAATAAAGAGATGTATCCTAAAAGAACAACTCCGTCCTAAAAGAACAATTTACAATAATGTATTATATTACACAACTATGTTATGTGTATGTGTGTATCATATTTACATATTGTACTAAGTATCCGCCCCGGCTTCGCACGGGTGATTTCTGGATATGAACAACAGCGCCACCTACCGGCTCCAATCGTGAATCCAAACTATTTAAGGACCAATTCAAACACATACAAAAAGAATTAAAGAATTATTACCTATAAGAGCTATAGTTTAAAAACGTGATTCTTTTTTATTAACGCCCCCGCAAACCCCCTTTGCGGGTGGAGTCTTGTAAAATCCGCTAACCTCTACTCGGGGAAAGGAATACTCCTACCAAATTTCAAGTATATATATATAAGAATTGATAGATTTAAGTTATATAGATATAGGTTTTTTATTTTTTCTTAATTTGCTACCAATATCTTTGTTTATTCCATCTTGCTTAGAATGCCGTAAGGCAGTGAATCCGCCCTTTGTAGCCCCTAGTTGAAGGTAGGTTGCAAAAATAAATAAATATATTATATAAACTACACCTTTTGTAATCTGTTGGTATATTGGCGCCAAGTCAGAGACCACAGTTATATATAACCGAATAGTTTGACCCTCGAGGCTTATCAAAGAAAACCAGGTCCGCGTTATCTATAAAGACATTAGGTTAACACCCTCTCAACCTCGAGATAAATGCAGTGATGTTTTGTTTTTTTTAAATAAGATAAGGGTGACAAACGGGCACACAGTCCACCTGATGGTAAGTGGTTGCTGTGGCCCATACACATCTACATCTATCCTCTATTACAAATCAAAATGCAGATGCGTTGTCACCCGTGAAGACTAAGATGGAATGCCTCATTTCCAGTAAAAAGGGTCTCCGGTTCTCTACACTCACCAACGAAACACAGCAGCGTTAAGCTGCTATTTTACACTGGTATTCTGTGAGAGCGTGATCCTTCCGCGGTCTAGCCGACCCATTCGTGCTACAACTATACTACTAATATAGCTGCAGCATGGCTCTACCACGTAAAGAACTGTTGGGCTTGGTTCGTGAACTCATAGTATATAATTCCTCTACCTCATTGGTCTACTATTCGTAAACACGATCGCCGATTGCTGGTCCCGGGCTTGACTGCCGGATCGGGCCAAAATTAGTTATTGGGATTTTCTGTCACGACTTTCTTAGTAGCATCTACATTTTGATTCGCAAACGAGAATAGATGTAGATGTCTATGGACCACAGTAACCACTTACCATCAGATGGACTATGTGCCCGTTTGTCACCGTTATTCTTAAAAATGTTAATGTTACCTTAATAAGTTTCCGGTAATTCCGATTATCCACCCCAAGCGGGGCGGATAATCGGAATTTGTTTGTGTTTTCGTGTGTTTTCTTCCGATTTTCTCCCTCGGCTGTATACATACATACATATAATCACGCCTCTTTCCCGTAGGGGTAGGCAGAGACCACTTCTTTCCACTTGCTACTATCCTTACATACTTGTTTTGCTTCGTCCACTTTCATTATTCCCTTCATACATGCTCTACGGTTTAGGGTACTCTTGACCTGGCCTTTAGTTGCCACGGCTGTATACAGTTAAGAGAAACATGATAAACACTGACCCAATATACTGAGTTATCTACTCTATCTATTAAAAATATATACACATACTTCTTGTTTGAAAGGTCAAAGCTGAAATTAAAGAAGTGCTTCACAGGATTGCACATTTATTGGAATCTTGGCATTAAACAAATTCAAAAACATCCAATTTTACATTTAGTAGAAAATAGTTTTGAAATGCTTGCAAAACATCGCCGAGTTTTTCGCTAACACATCTGTTGTAGACAATAAATTTAGAACACGTTTGCAAATGTACATTAAAAGGAACTGATTTATCCAGGATATAAAATTACGTCTACTCAATAATGACATTAGTGTTGGTAATTATTTCCTGGACGTATTGCACAATTTCAGCTCGAGTTACACGATTGTTTTCGGTGCCTAGAAGACTGCAATTCAGTGGAGGATATGAATGACAAGCTTGTGGAAACTGTCCATGCCAAAAGAACACAAAAACTCTCCGATCGCACTCGTAATCTCATGGCTGTTAGACGGGAAATGAAGTTGCAGTCTTCAACAGATTTGGCAGTATACAGGCAACTGAACAGGCAGATCTTCAAATGTCTGCCAGAAAGAGCCAACTGTAGAAGCTGAAGACCGAATGTGGCAGCATCGTTTCCGGGACATCTGAGATTTTGAATGAGATTGAAAGTTTCTCAATCTCATTCAAAATCTCAGAGATAATCTCAGGTAGATGCAGCTGTACACATCATCGTTGAAGCCACACGCAAGTGTGAGTAACGATCCG